GAGGGCAAAAAGAAAACCAAAACAAACCGCATTGACGAGAGTTCCGAAGCAAGCCAAGATAACTAATCATAAACTCCAGGAAAATAACCGAGGAGAGTCCATGGGAAGAACGCCAGCAAAAATAAACCTCTTTCAAAGTAAACACTAAATTGACTCCAGCAATTCTGACTGCGCAGTTACAAACTTATATACATAGCTCCCAGCTGCAAGCCATGAGGAGGATCATGGTAATCTCCTCTTGAGTAGACCTCGCTTTTCCCTGATCCTCTCCTCTCTGCGTGACCTAGGATGGATAGGGGATGGGCCTGAATCCTCCTCTGATTGCTCAGCCGGCCTCTGCCCTTCCCCAGCCTCCTTCACCACCTCTGGAGCCACACTCCCTCTCCCTGTTGGCTGTTCCTCCTCTTCCTCAGAGTCAGTCTCCACCAGGGGCATGACGCAACTAGGTAGCATCATCAGTGTAGAAGGGAGTGGGTTTTACTCTCTGTTTATATACAAGTGGCTTGTAAGTCAGGAACTACCAACAGTCAAATAGAACAGCTGAATGAAGGACCCACCAAGAATTCTCCTTCCCAACACTGATGCGGCAAGGCACTTATATATAAACAGAGAGCAAACCTCACTAAAGAAATGTCTCACTTGACAACAGAAATTTGAGGCTCAATTGTGGTCATAAGCTGAGGGCTATCTGTATAGGATGCTTTCAGCTCTGAAGAAAAAGTGTGATATAAATCTAATAAACCGCAGTGCTTACAGTGGTTAGAGTGCAGTACTGCAGGCTACTTCTGCTGCCTGCCGGCTGCCTGCAATTTGGCAGTTCAAATCTCACTAGGCTCAAGGTTGACTCAGCCTTCCATCCTTCTGAGGTGGGTAAAACGAGGACACAGATTGTTGGGGGCAAGATGCTGACTCTGTAAACCACTTAGAGAGGGCTGTAAAGCACTGTAAAACCATATATAAGTCTTAAGTGCAATTGCTAAGTGCTAATAAGCAGCAAATGTTGTGTTTCTGGCCACAGTGATGAAGTAAAGGGTGGAACTCTGATTTATCCTAAAACAGAGAGGTGTAATTTATTTCACTCATAGTGAATGGGGTTGGAGTTTTTTTTCCTCTTCCTGGTGAGGTTGTGCAATACCAAAGCCTACGTATGTTTGAATCTGAAAAGTGATTTGAGTGTTGAGCTGTCCCCAGCTTCCTCAAATCTTTTCAGTCCATTACAACATCCCCAAACTTAATTCTCGGTACATTTTGTGCTCTGGTGCAAATAAACACACGTCTGCTATCCTCTGGGTTTTGCTTCCAGATCCCGTGAATGCATCATCATAAACCGGGATAAAATCATAATCACATGCCCACCATTAGTCCTGTCGTACCGATAAATAAAAAGAAACAGAGCCATTTAAAAACTTTCAAAAAGTCGAAGTTCGTGGAAAGCAGCCTCTGTGTAACCTCAAAAAGTAGTGGAAAGGTTTTAATTTGCAAATGCTACCTCATCAGCTTACTGTCTCCACCTTTATTAACAAATTTATACAACTGGCGCATCCGAACTTTTCCACGCTTATAGGAAGCAACCTGAGCTGGATTTTTTTTTCCTTTTAGCCACAAAAAATTGGACACTGAGAACTGAATTGATTATTGACTGCTCTTGTTTGTTCTTCAAATTCATGTTTATTATTAGTGCAGCGAGGTTCAGCCTATGCACGGAGTTATTTCATTGCTATTTCATTGCTTTATGAATTACCTTTTTTTAAAAAAAAGCCTCTTTTAACCACTGTGGAAATATGGAATATGTATGTGTTAATCTGGACCAAGTCCGGGATGTTCTCTTGCAAACCTTGTCTAGACGAGGGATAAAGAGTTAGGATTTTAAATACGATGTACAAACTGTTTAAAACACACTCCCTTTCTTTGCGGCAAGTAGTAACTTTATTTACAGACTGTTTGGGGGAAATGGACTGACCGTTTTGTCTGTTCGCAGCATTTATGTAGCATTTGTGGGCATTTTCTAAGTAGGCCTCGGGGGAAAAAATATGCTCCGTGTGTAAATATTTTAAGCTCACCCAAGTGTTTATGTAACTTCATTTTTCTCAATGGCCAGAGAATCTTTTTCCCAACAGCTTTAGAGTTTTGTGTATCAAATAGCATAACAACCTTCACCATGCCAGGAAAAATGACTTTAGAAATAGAAAACCATTTTCAAAAAAAAACGTTGACCATTGTTTATTTCGCCTAAAAGAGGCAGATTCAGCAACATAAATCCTGTTAAAAGTGACCTTGAAGGTCTTCTAGTCCAACCACCTCCCTGCCCGGGATGGGAAACCTCAGATCACCCAAGAGAAATGGCACAACTTCTGTTTGAAATTCTCCAGGAGAATTTTCTGGAATTATGCTGGAATATGGCTATCATGTCTACCTCTATCTTCTTCTATGTTCTGCTTTTCTTTCTTTTTTTCTTTCTCATTCTCTCTTTCCTTCCTTCTGTTTCTTTCTCTTTCTTTTTTCTTTCTATCTTTCCTTCCTTCCTTCCTTCCTTCCTTCCTTCCTTCCTTCCTTCCTTC